CTCAATTTGTAACATCCAGGAAGGACTTTTGAAGTTATGATGTACAATATGTGAGTTACCCACAGCAATTCTTTTCCTTATGCAGGAATTAAAAGTATGAGAGAAAAACAAAGCCACTAGTCAGATTTTATCATAGATCCTGTCATAACTTCAGGAATTGAAGGATTATGTGAAGGTGTCACACCCAGAGGCAAGCAGGGGAATATGGTAAAATGAAGGGCATTAATTAAACATGGAAAATTGTCTGGTTTGGGGGAGTAACATAGATATTTTAGCTGACCTCTTTTTCAAGTCCCAGTGATTTTATAACCGACAGTGAGTTTCAGATGGATAACAGTGGGGGTGTAGTATTTAGGAGTTTGTATGAGGAAAGTATAAGCTGTATCCCTAGAAGAACTTCAGTGGGTTATTTTTCCCCAGATATGTTAGTCCTGGAATTTGCTAGTGGCAGGATCAATAGTAATAGTAGGATTAGTGAGACGTAGCTGTCACTGAGGCTCTGGTATAGGTTATCTACATCAGCGATATAATCTATTTTCATTATAGAACAGCCAATTATAGTGTGAGCATGACAAACAGAATTGCAAGAATATTACAAATGAGGTCTTATTCTATGGTTTATAAACAAGCTAAACTTACAAATCTTGCTTCTGGAAAAAACAAAGATCTAGAATGATGACAAAGAAAAAGTAATCAGTAATGTTTATTTCTTCGCAGAACATACATTTCACCTATTCAAAGGACATGTAATATGCTTTCATTTATTATTGTTAGGCACTTACTCAATGAGTATTTTGGGGCCGATATGACAAATCAGAGATTGTTTAAAACACTGAAATTTATAGTTCTTACATCTATGGTAATTTGGCTTGCTTTCTTAATGTTTCCCTAATATTAGTGTATGATTTATAGGTTCAAAGGGATAAAAAAATACTGTTTGAGAGAGGAAAAAGATATCACAGAAGCTTAGTGATTTTTTTAAGATTTTATTTATTTATTTGAGAGAGAGAGAGAGAGAAAGCACAAGTGGGGGGGGGGACGAGCAGAGGCAGAGGCAGAAGGAGAAGTGGGCTCCAACAACCCAGGGCTCGATCCCAGGACCCTGAGATCATGACCTGAGCTGAAGGCAGACACTTAACTGACTGAGCCACCCAGGCACCCCAGAAGTTTAATGATTTTTTTTAAAGATTTTGGGGTATTTTGTGCTTTTATCTATTGCTAAAAAAATTTGTCAGCAAATCATCTCTGAATTTTTCCATATTTTTGTATCTTCCTGTCTTTTTTCCTTTTCTCTGTCCTATAGATATATTAATATATAATCATAATGTATTACTATAATTAATATACTATATTAATTAATAATAATATGTTAATACATATATGAATCTAATTGGTATTTTACATATAAGGAAAGAGATGAAAAGATGTAGAATAAATTAAGTTAGATATAGATGTACTAATAATATATTAGTCTGTACCGAGAAATACATGTGTTAATATAAGCATATATATTAATCCAGTTGGGGTATGAGTATATATGCATATCAATTGGATTAGTCTCCTTCCTTCCATTTTCTTGCTTTTCCTAAGAATGAGCTATTTATTTTTTTTAAGATTTTATTTATTTGACAGAGAGAGAGACAGCGAGAGGGAACACAAGTAGGAGGAGTGGGAGAGGGAGAAGCAGGCTTCCCGACGAGCAGGGGCTCGATCCCAGGACTCTGGGATCATGACCCTAGCTGAAGGCAGATGCTTAAGGACTGAGCCAGCCGGGCGCCCCAAGAATGAGCTATTTAGATGAATTTGCTGTTTTGATACTTAGAGACAGTGGGACTCGTTTAGCCTGGACCACTCTTCTGCTTAAGCACCTACTATGTGCTCAGAGTGTCCTAGAAACAGAGATGAATGTGATAAACATATCCTTGACCTCATGGAGCTTACAGTGAAGTTGGATAGACACTAAATAAATGATCACATGTGTATCGTCCCTGTAGATTCTGTAATCATGTCAGTGACAAAATGTTAGGAAGGAAAAGAACAAAGTTCTATGAGAGGATATGAAAGAGACCTTCATCTAGTAAGGGCAAGGACCAGTGGAGGCCCTAAGTGACAGGTAAACTGACCTCGAAGGAAGGATGGAGTTAGCCAGGTAAAAGTGAGGTGTATATGTTATGGGTTGAGGGGACTGCATAGGCCAAAGCTCTTGTTGGATTACTTGTAGATAAGAAGAAAGGAAGAGAGTGAAGGAATTACGATTTCTTCAACACCACACTGAGCAGGTTACTGATGTTAGGACACGATCTGATTACCTGAGGTTCAGGATACTTTATTAATTCTTAAGCCAATCTGTGTCGGGTATTGCAGATGCAGAGATGAATGACATATGATTGATGATCTGGGAGAACTCAGTAGAATAAAGAATCTACAAACAAAAAAGCCCCACAATACAATATTTGCTAATCAAAGAAATTCAGATATCCAGAAGATGCTAGCAGAACATCAAAATGGAGACCAAGGAGTTACTCCGGGAGTGCCAAGGAAAATTTCCTGAAGGAAGTACTGTTTGAGCTGACTTCTAAAGGATGAATAAGCTTCCTCCTATAGGCAGAAAGTGGTAAGGCCCTTCCAGGTAGAGGCTCTACCAAATGCAAAGGCGTGGACCCTGGAAAGAACATGCCCAGTCAGGGAACTAAGCTCCTGACCACACTTATGCAAGGGGAAAGGGACGTTGAAGCAGCAATCAGAGGTCAGATGAGACAGAACCTAACTTGCCCTGCCTTGCAACTTTGATGTCCCGTCTAGGAAATAGGGAGCCAGTTAGGGTTTGTTTTCTAAACAACCTGAAGGCTGTTGGTGCTCTGGAGGAGTAGCTAGAAGGGGACTGAGCTTGGAGAAATGTGGGAGGAATGTAATGGCCCTGGGAAATGAGGGTCCTCTCTGCTAGCCAGAGAGTAGCATAGTTATTTTTAAGATAATGTGGCATTAAAAATAAATGGACATTTTGTAACAGTATAGGAAGGAAGAAACAACATAAATAAATTTTATAAATCTTTTATTTTTTTCCCAAAGAACAAAAGAAGTGCTACAAACCAATGAGACACATAATAAAGAGTAACTTTCACATGGTAATTGTGATGCATAGGCAATTCTTTATCACAAAATGATCAAAACCTTAACCTGTGTATATTTTTTGAAAACTAAATGTGAATCTATATTTAAATAGCTCAAACATCTTTTCAAAACTTTACGAGTACAAATCATTGTGAAGTTTGCTTTTATTCCTAAAAAATGCAAACAATGCATTTCTATAAAAAAAAACTAGAAATAGGGAATTTGCCTATATCCTAGCTTCTTCATCTGTCCAAAACATATATTTAGTGACCAGAATTATAGTACTCCTAGTAAAATGGTTAATACACACCATAAAATCAAGGTTTAGTAAGTCATGACATTATGCCATACTAAGAAGACATCAAATGTCTAAAATTATAGGAAAAAAACATATTAGTTCTTATAGAACGTAAACATTTAAAAATTCTAAATAAGGAAGTATATTTTATACAGATAACTGCATGTTACACCAGCTTTTTAAGGCAATATAACTCAGCATCCCAGAGTCAAGAGCAAGGAAACCTAACATACTCCCCAAGAAACGATACCAAAATATCTCCTATTTCATGAGGTGTGAAGATAACAATTTATCTCCACCTACAGCATTCTAATGAAATAACATTCACATATTAAACCCACAGCCTTCTCAGTAACACTGTAAGGAATATATTCTAAAAATACAAGTCATTTTGAAAGCTTAACAACCACTGATTCTTGACTCACAATTTAATCAATTGCCAAAGATTTCAAATAGCACAGCAGATAAAATAACAGCAAATAAATAGTGGGAAATACTGTGTTAAATACTTCATAAGCTGAGCATTAAGCTCGAGGGACAAACATAGGTGCCTCCCCACCATCCTTTTCTCAAAGTGGGAAGTTTATGAAGAAGCCTAACTCATTGGAGAAAATTTGTCCTTGCTTCTTGTCTTCACTGGGTCCTGAGACACTCAGGAAACCGCTCTGCTAAGGAACTGGGCAATTTTTCCAGTGCATGGTCCTTTCTCTTAATCAGTTTTTCTTCCACTGTTGAGAAAAGAATCATATTAGTTTAACCAAGTTTCTACACTCCTGTCTACTCAGACCTATTTTCAAAACACAGAGCTTAAGAGCAATGAAAAAAAGCAAAGGGTGGACACAAGGACTATACTAACAACTACAAAAAAATACATCTCAGTAATGAGCTCTATGGAACCACTTAGGCAATTAATGTGAAATTGGTGATGAGTCTTCCCGGGACATTCCAGAACAACTTTTCCCCTTTCTCTTGAACCATCTTTTATTCTAAGCATGGTCTGGAATGTGGTAGGCAAATCCCAGGCAGAGAATAAGGACCTTGAGAAGTCTGCACTCTCAAAAGAGACTAAAAAGCACAAAGATCAAAGCGGCAGGGTACCTGTCCAAAATTTTCTGGATGACTTTCTTCATCACAGGGGTTTTTGGGTCCAGACAGACTTCCTTCTTGTTCTTCAGGGTGGCTCTGCAGAAACAAAAAGGGGATGAGCCCTTGAGCCCCAGGGGCTCAAGACTCAGGATAAGAGACTTCTCTCTTGTCAAGGTCACAGTGGACACCGCAGCGCACGAGGACTTACACGACTTCCACCTTGGAGCACTGTGGGCCGGCGGCGATCACCTGCACCTTAGTAATCATTCTGGGATGAATCCCCTGTGTGGTGGTTAAACACATGCAACGGAGCTCCCTCACTATGGTCGAGACGGGACCGGCTGGGGCACAAAGAGAGACACCGTTCTAGGGCAGGTTGGCAGAGAGCTCTTCCCCCCGCAAGCCCGCCCAGGCCACCTCCCCGCGCCGCGACCGCCGCGGAGGCTGGACGCGCCGCTCGGCCCGGGCGCCTGCCGCGTGCTGTGCGCTCTCACCGCTGACGAGGGGCCCCGGCGGCGTCAGCAACAGCAGCAAGAACAGCGCGCACAGGGAGCCGGAGGGCCCGGGGAGGCGGGCGGCGCGGCTGGGCAGGAGGCTCATTGCGGCAACCAGGGCGGTGAGGGCTGCGGGTTCTAGAGGCAGGAGAGGAGCGGGGATCTGAAGCTCCTGCGCACTGTGGCTTCCCCCAAGTCCTTTGCATCCCTTTTATCTGCACGGGCCCCTTCCCCCCAGGCAGGAAACTCAAGCGTTGGGATGCTCGGGAAATTCCCTGGATGAGGGGGGTGGGCGGAGGCGGGAAGGGGGGCAATGGGTGGAGGGGGGCTGAGCAGAGGGAGTTGAGGAGGAGGGTGGCTGGGAGGAACTGCCTCCTCCTCAGCTGGTTGCTGCAGGGATTTCGTCCCCTAGGCCAGCCAGGGCTAGCGAAGGCCGGCTTCTCCTGGGGACGGAGCCTTTGGGAGAATCCCCTCGTTCCCATCTAAGGAGGAAAACTGGAGCCAAACTGCAAAGTTTGACTTTAGAAAAATTTCTGAACGATCTTTCTAATTTATCATCATTATCATCATCACCATTCAGGGAATGTAAGCTGTGATTAAAACTGCACTAAACAGAAAAACCTTCCTCTTCGGCTTGCAGGCAGATCATTCTATGTTTCTGGCTCGAATTAATTTCTGATTCTTTTGATTTCGGCTAGCTTTAGAGGCCAAGATGCTTTGATGAAAATATCTCTACTCCCGCTTGAAGCCAGTGGCAGGAAGGGACTCCCAAATCAATTCTGCTAACTGGAAATGCTGTCCTTGTAGCTCCGCAAGCATCGGCGTGCCCGGTGGTCTTCGAAAATCTTCAAAAATCACTACGCAAATTGCCCTGGAAGACGATGCCTTGCTTTCGGCAGTTCAGTACGCTGGTGAATTGAAAGAGGCGGGTCTTTTTTTTGGGGGGGGGGGAGATGTGATGGGGAGCGGTGAGTGCAGACTAAAGCAGAGTCCCAGCTGAGCCTGTTCCAGCGATGGCTCCAGACTCTGGCCAGGTGTGTAATTGACCCAATTCTGACAGGCTGTGGGAGGCTGATGAGTTTGAAGAACTCTTCTGCAAGTTTGGTGTGGGGTTTTGAATCCATTTGGCAGCAAGACAGCACCAACTCTGGTTTTGCTCAACTTCATGGGAGAGAAGAACCACAAGCTTCTGGAGTGATTTAGCATCATGATCAGTGGCTGCTTTAATCCACAGGCCTGTTTGAATCCAGGTGAGCTCAGAGTTGCCCCCTGAAATTGAGGGGTGAGGTAGCTGGAAAAGGGGTGAGGTAGCTTCCAGCTTCCTCATCCTCTCTCTTCTCTCTCTCTTAACTGTGGAAATAGAACGCTGAAGTTTTAACGGCAGGTCTTTCACATGTCTAACTCTGTGGAAGGCATGAGTATGATATTGGAATGACACATGGACTTTCTTTCATGGAACTCTAACTAAATCCTCTTCTGGATTGTTCTCAATACCCTTGTCCTCACAGTAGGCCAGCAAAGGCATTGGGTAGACATGACAGCAACTGGAAGCCAGTGATGGAAAGAAATTACTTTCCTTGTCCCTGAAGACCCTGGGGAATTTTATTGACTCCTCCACATAGCTTCCTTGGCAGAACATCACCTCCATTGGTGAACAAGGAGGAGGTCTCATAAACCTTTAGAACTTTTGGTCTGAAAGGAAACCTGAGAAATTGACGAAGGCTGGGAGGTTTGGCCTCACCTCAGGGGAAGCTAAATGGAAAGTTCTCTATTCTGCACAGCTTCCTGATACCATCAGCATCATACCTGACTCAGCTAATATAATCCTTCATCCTTCCAGGGAGTGGTAATCTGGGAAAACAACCTGCCTTCAGATTTATTATATTGACTTTTTAGAGATTAGAATGCATCTAAAAACAAAAAGTAAACCTCACGGATGTGAATAAAACAAAACTTCAAGAACGTGACTAAAAATCTTGGGCAATTAAATTCAGCTTAACAACAGCAAATAAACCACAATATAATAAGAAGCTTGAAAAAAAGCTTCATGACATGGGTTATTTAGGGGTGTGTAGGTGTGTGTGTGTGTTTAGATTAGTTCCAAATAACCTATTTAAATATAAATGAACTTATGGGTTATTTTGGCACTAAATGGTAAAATCAGAGAAGGGTCATGAGACATGATTTCCAGTTTCTCCTGACATTCTTATAGATGTTCATGTTTCACCTGGTTTGCGTTCTGAATCAACTTGCCATGGATTATTTACAGAATATAAGGGAAAAAATTTTTCTTCAGCTGGCGGGCAGGTAATAGAAAGTTCCCAGGAGATGTAGGCTGTTGGTTTGCCCAACCTAACCAGGAAACAGTGTGTAACTTAACCTGGGTTCTCATTGAAATCATTCTGGCCCGCTGCCCATGCCTAGCTCCTGTCCAGGAATCACTGGTGTGGGCCTTCTGCAAAGACAGATAGGAATGTGGATGGTCCAAAGACTCCCTGATGTTGAGAATGACAGCACCAAGTACCGTAGAAGACAGGGTTCTTTAAAAGTAGTTGTTTCTTTTAAAGGGAGGCTATTTGCCTTACATGCACTCTGTCTAGGTAGTGGAGAAAGGCTCTGCGTTATTTTTGTCCCTAAATATAATCAAACAATCCACAAAATGACATTGACATCCTGATAGCCTGAAAGACTGACTTGTTTGTCAGAAGCAATAGAGTTTTAGTCATAATACCACAAACTAATGTAATAGGACTTAAAACATTCTTAATGGTTTCTGGCTTCTGAAACACTTCCATGCTCATTATCTTTTGAGCCTCATATCGATTCTTTGAAGCAGATAAGAAAAATTCTCCTATCTTCATTTTAGGAGCAGCTTCTCCTGTTGACAGGGAATGATACACAGGAAATAAGAAGTTGAGAATTAAAGTCTTAAATGTTTCCAAAAGCCCTGGGCTTCTCAGAAATAGAATCATCCATTTGGTCTGGGCTAAGCAAATAATAATAATAATAATAATAACAATAATAATAAATAAAATTTTTAAAAATCATAAAAGTAAGGCCAGTTAAGTAGAAAAGCAATGACTAGAAGTGAAGTGCTAGAGAATCTGTCACAAGGACTTTTTTAATTGGGTAAAATTGGTCCATAATATTATGTAAGTTCTGGGTGTACAGCATTTAATTCATTATAATTCGGTATCTATACACTACAAAGTGATCACCACTAGAAGTCTAGATTACCATCCATCACCATATAATTGACACCCTTCACCCATTTTGCTCACCCCCTCCTCCCTTTCCCTCTGGTAACCACCAGTCTGTTGTCTGTATCTAGGAGTTTGTTTTTGTTTCATTTTGTTTGTTCATTTGTTTAGTTTTTTTTTTTTTAGATTCTACATATAAGTGAAATCATATGATATTTGTCGTTCTCTGGCTGACCTAATTAACTTAGCATAATACTTTTAAGGTCCAAGTTTCATCTATGCTGTTACAAACAGCAAGACTTCATTCTTTTTTAGAGATGAGTAATATTCCATCATTATTCGATATATATGTGCACACACCACATCTTCTTTATCCATTCACTCATTGATGGATGTTTAGACTGTTTCCATTTCTTGCCTATTGTAAATAATGAACCTAGGGGTGCATATATCCCTTTGAATCAGTATTTTTGTATTCTTCAGATAAATACCAAGAAATGGAATAACCAGGTCATATGGTAGTCCTATTCTTAATTTTTTAAGGAATGGCCATATTGTTTTTCATAATGGCTGCACCATTTTACATTCCTACCAACAATGCACGAGTGTGCCTTTTTCACCACATCCTCTCCAATGCTAGTTATTCCTTGTCTTTTTGATAATAACTATTCTAACAGGTGTGAGATGATATCTAATTATAGTTTTGATTTGCATTTCTCTGATGATGAGTGATGTTGAACATCTTTTCATGTGTCTGTTGGCTATCTGTATGTCTTCTTTGTCCAAAACCCCTTCCCATTTTTTCATTAGGTTGTTTTTTGCTTGCTTTTGAATTGTATGAGTTCTTTATATATATTGGATATTAATCCTTTATCAGATATATGATTTGCAAAAATCGTCTCCCATCCAGTAGGTTGATGATGACTTCCTTTGCTGTGCAGAAACTTTTTAGTTTAACATAATCCCATTTGTCTATTTTTTCTTTTCACAAAAAAATTTTAATGTTTTTCAGATTACGAACCATATTCTTCACAGTCACTAGCAAATACCCCATGGCTCTCAATATCTGCTTAACCACTTGTATTGCAAAACAAACTGAAGAAACAAACATATTTTAAGCTGTTGAAATCCCCAGTCTATGTATTCCTGGCCTTTGAGGCTACAGTGATGTCAAGCAGCCAAGAGATTTCCAAATTAATCAGCCTGAAACTGTCACCTGCTTTCCAGATTCCTCTCTTTCTTCAAGACCAGTGTGAGGTTCTGTCTTCCCGGAGAAGGTTTATTCTGGCAAAGCCAATTGTTATGTATTCTTTTTATCTTCAGTCTTTGAATATCTAATGTACTTGTGATAACTGCCTCATGAGACAGAGTTTACTTATTCCTTAATTTTGCATTTGTCTCTCTCCAGTCAATTATAAACTCTTTAAAATGAGGGGTGATGAAGTGTTGAATCACTATATTGTACACCTAAAACTAATATTATAGTGTATGTTAACTAACTGGAATTTAAATAAAAACTTAAAAAAATAAAATAAGTGATAACGTCTTCTATTTCTCACATAGCCTCCTTATGTTCCCAGTTCAATAACAGTCTATGAACATTTAATGACAGATAATGATAACTTTTTATTTTGCAATGTTCTCTGAATTACAAGTGGACCTTAAAGTCAAGGAGAAGAGAATAGGGTGGTTTGCTGCCATTAATCATTTGAACTCCTCAATTTTAAATTAGCTTTCCCTTGTGTCGAAAATTATTTCTTGGTTATTCTTAGGGACAGTTCAAATGATATTTTAAGTCTTTGGAATTTGAACTATTCAAAAGAATGTTCAGAAACCAGCAGGATATTTGATATTAAAAGAAAAAGATTATAAAACTACAGTATCAACCAAATAAAATTTTTCTGGGACTTAGAGATTGTCAGAGATAAATGATAAGGAAAAATTCTGGTTAAGTCATACTGTATTGAATGTTAACGGTGTGGTGCTATTATTTTAAATGATCTCTTCCAACAAATCAAAGAGGCCTTTAATTGTGTGATTAAGTATATGAGCTAGGCCTTTTAAATATTTTTCTAAGTTTCTATTTATATTACATTATTTTTAAGAAATGCCATATGATTACAGTAATAAAAGATGTAAACATACAACTGTCAGGTTAGGCACAACAAAGATATCAGTAAAAGAATTTACTGATCAGTAAGAGTTTAAGTAGAGGATAGAGTTACTTGCTTGTATGCAAAAGAAAAGGAAAAAGCCAGCTCCTTATGGGTTAGCTTTGCAACATCCATGCAGTCTCTCTCTTTCCACATTGGACTGGCAGTCCGATGATGAAACAGTATTATTTAAGGAAAACTTTACTTCAAAAGTTGCCCCAACTGTACTGTGAAATATCAGAAATGTTTTCCCTTCTCTTGTCCATTCTCTAATTTTCCTTGCTGCCCATTTCAGATTAAGTCTACTTGAGAAAGGAGTAAATCAATGATCCTTAATTGGGTTCAAATTGAGCAAGGCTCCAAGTAACCATAGATGGACTTTATCTTGCCACCTCCTGGGTGGATAAGGTAGCTAGTTATTTTTGTTCATCTGTGCAAAGGCTGCAAGATGTTTTGTTGACAAGAGAAGATACAAAGACGAGGATTAAATCTTAAATATTTCCAAAAGCTCTGGGCTTCTCAGAAATAAGAAGCATTCATTACTTTCTTCAGAAATTCGGTCTGGGCTCAGCAAAACAACAACAAAAATCTTTTTAGGGGTTAGCTATTTTAAATAAGTTTTTTGAGAAGTCATTTATCTGATACTGCAGAGGTCCTTTATGAAAATTAGACTTCAAATGCTGTACTTAACAGTTGTCATTTACTATACTGTTTTTTGACTACCATTACCTTCATACCTTTTCTCTTCTAATTTAGGAGAATATCCACTTCTTCATGAGCCACAATATCTTTCATTCTCATTTAATATATATTAGAAACTCAATGATTGCTGCTTTAATAGGAATAATTGTGATGTATTTGTATGTTTGTGGTTTATATACTTTGAAGATAATCAAAACCCTCTGTTGGCCTCCTTTATCATCACTTGAACAAATAACAAAGACTCATCATTTGACATGTGTCTAAGATGATGTTCATATTGACGTAAAAGTCAAACACACACACACACACACACACACACACACACACACACCACCACCAACAACAACAACAACAATGCTATGGTCCAAATGTTTGTGCTCCCCTCCCCAGATTCATATGTTGAAATTCTAACACCCAGTATGATTGTATTAGGAGGACAGGCCTTTAGGATGTAATTAAGTCATGAGGGCAGATCCCTCATGAATGTGATTAGTGCCCTTATAGAAGAATCCCCACTGAAGTCCCACAACCCTTCCTACCAAATGAAGACACAGCAAGAAAGTGCCATCTATGAACCAGGAAACAGGTTTTCACCAGACACTGAACCTGCCAACACCTTGAACTTGAACTTCCCAGTGTCCAGAACTGTGAGCAATACATTTCTGTTGTTTATAAGATCAAGAGAAAAATAAGAATAAAATGTATCTTATAGTTGATTTCTTGCTACAAATTTTTTTCGTAAATCTGATTATGAATTCTCAGTGAATAACTACTTTTATGCATTTTTGAAACATTGCCATAAAAGGCGGTGTGGGGATGAGCAAAATGGGTGAAAGAAGTGGGGAGGCATAGGATTCCAGTTACGGAATGAATAAGTGATGGGGATGGAAGGTGGAAATGCATAGGGAGTGTAGTCAATAATATTGTAATAGTATTGTATGGTGATAGATGATAGCGACACTTGTGGTGAGCATAGCCTAATGTACACAGTTGTCAAATCAATATGTTGTATACTGGAAACTAATGTAACATTGTGTGTCAAAAATTAAACTTCAATTTAAAAGCATTTAATTAAAAATTTGCAAAAAAAAAAAAAAAGCCAAAAACCTCATCTCCTTGGCCACAGTTGATGAAATTTTTTTTTAAGAATTGAGAAATTGATCCTACTGACATAAGAGGTGTTGTAATACCAAAACAAAAATCACAAAATCCTAGAAATTCTGGCTAAAGCTGGGCTATGAGTATCATACTAACCAGTTGGGATTTTAAAGCATGGCTTCCGCTGGGGAGTAAATTGACAAAACCACTTGAGTAAAATGCTTTGCTTTGAATCATTTTGGTTTCCAAAAAATTCAGCATTAGTAAATCAGACTGCCAAGTCATTTTCTTTGGAACTGAATGTATGTTGGAAACAGCTTTTATTTTTCCCTAATTTAAATTTGAGAACCAGACCGGTGAATGCTATGACCAGGCATTATGTCATAGAAAAGGGGAAAATAGTAGTCGCTAATGTACTAGGAAAAAAACAAAGCTGGTTTCTCTCATATTATGATTAGGTACAAATTAGTTGTTAGTAATAAATGAAAGTTATGAAAGTTTGATATGAAGTGTTTCCAATTAGCTTTCTATGAATTTTTGAAAATAAAATCATAATGTAAATTTAGGCAGTACAATTGGTGAAGGAAAAAACTGGTAAGTTGAACTTTATTAACATTAAAATTTTCTGTTCTGCAAAAGACACTACCAAGAGAAGGAAAAGACCAGACCAGGATTAAATATTGGTGAAAGACATATCTGATAAAGGACTGTTTTCCAAAATATACAAAAAATGCTTAAAATTCAACAATAAGAACACAAATAATATGATTTAAAAAATCACACAAAGACCTTAATAGATGCTGCACTAAAAATATATGTATACAGATGGCAAATAAACATATTAAAAGATGGTGCACATCATATGTCAACAGGGAAATGCAAATTAAAAAAACAATGATATATCACTATACATATATTAGAATGACCAAAATCTAGAGTATTAGTATTGATTACACCAATTGCTGGTGAGGATGTGGAGCAGAAACTCTCATACACTGCTGTTGGGAATGCAAAATGTCAGTTTCTTATAAAACTAAACATACAGCTCAACAGTCATGTTCCTTGGTGTTTACCCAAAGGAGCTGAAAATTATGTCTGCACATAAATCTGTAAATGGGTGTTTAAAACAGCTTTATTCATAATTGACAAAACTTGGAAGCAAGCTAGATGCCCTTCATTAGGTTAACAGATAAATAAACTGTGGTAGATCCAGACAATGGAATATTATTCAGTGCTGAGAAAAGACATGGAGGAAGTTTAAATGCATATTTAACCCAATCTGAAAAGCGATACGATTCCACCTGTATGACATTCTAGAAAAGGCAAAACTATGGAGACAGTAAAAAGATCAGTGGTTGCTAGGGTTTAGGGGCTAGGGAGAAGGAGCACAGAGGATATTTAAAGCAGTGAAACTATTCCGTGTGATATTGTAATGGTTGATACCTGCCATTCTACATTTGTCCAAACCCATAGAATGTAGACACCAAGAATGAACACTAATGTAAACCTTGGACTCTGGATGATAATGATGCATCCATGCAGGTTCAGCAGTTGTAACAAGTGCACCATTCTGGTGGGAGATATGGATAACAGAGGAGGCTATGCATATGTCAGGGCAGGGGGTACATAGCAAATCTCTGTACTTTCTTCTCAATTTTGCTGTGAACTTAAAACTGCTCTAAAAATAAAGCCAATTTTAACATTTAAAAAATTAATTTCTAAAAAGAAAAAAGATGTTTCTTCAGCCATTCATTAATCATTGCCCTATTTGGATGCTATTTCTATGCCACTAACTTTTTGTGTAACCTTGAACAACTTATCACTTCTTTAAATGACAGTACCGATACCTTTTTTTCTTCATAAAACTATTGAGAGGAACAATAGTTATTATGAAAGCTTTTAAAAATATTTTTTATTTTTATGTTTTTAATTGAGATAGAATTTGCACAGTGAAATGCATACATCTTAAGTGTGTAGGTCAATGAATTTTGGAAAATGTAAATGATTAATCAAGATAGAGAACATTTTCATCCTCTCAGAAGATCTGTGCTTATTTATTCAATCTCTCTTTTCCAGAAAAAAACACTATTCTGATTTGTAGTTTTGTCTATGCTTAAAATTTACATAAAGGGAATTATCCAGTGTGTACTCTCTTGTACTCTTTGGTTTCTTTTGCTAAACTTAGTATCTGTGAGATTCATCCATGTTACTGTAAATATTAATACCACACTCCTTTTTATTTGGTAGGATATTCCTTTAGTAACTGACATGAAGTATTCAATTGTACAAAGTTGGCAAAATTTGTTTATCCATTAGTTTGTGGATGGACATTTGGATCTTTTCCAGTTTTGGGTTAGCAATTTGACTATTATGAATAAAGCAGCTAAAAACATTATAAAATATTTTTGTGCATTGTTGGATAAAGATAGCCATAAATGTATTCCCTTTCTTCTCATTGAAATGTGGCATCTATCTGAATCTGAACTGTTTCTGTGACTGGTTTTGATCAA